AAAGCCAGAAAAATGTTGAGATGTAAGTGAATTTGTCTACCTTTTGCATTTTTTAATCTATATTCTTTGGTGCATTATGTAATTAAATAAAAATTGTTAAGTGCATTACTATAAAAAGGCTTAACTCTCCTTGACAGTCAAGGGCAAGAAAAAAGAAGATTGGTTAAATACCTTATTTCTTGTTTTTCATATTTATTCTTTATTTATTATTATAAAAGTAACTAAAATCTAAACATATGTTTTTAAGTTCTTTAAAAATAGATTAGGTAAAATAAGTAATAATAATATAATTAAAATAGTTCACGAGGCACGCATGTGAGCAGCTCATGAGTAACGTAATTCAATAGCGTAATGTGAGCTGCACGTTCCCAAATGATTTACAACTTATAATGGTGCTGATAGTAGTTAGACATGGTTCAAAGGGCAATAAAACAATCAAATTTAATTATAAATAGATATATACTGTTACATACTTAGAGCTACTTAGGATAAACGAATGTAGTTTTATGGTATAATTTGAAGTAATTCTTGAAAGAAAAAAGGGGTAATTTAGGTTTATTATTTTTTTTTTTCTGGTGGTTACGAGGTCAGTCAAATTGACCTATCCCATTTTGAGACAGGGTAGAGAAAATAACAGATAAACTATAAAGTTTTACTTAAAAAAAAGTTTAAAATGCATTTAGGAGGTTTTGGAGATTGCACAAAGAAGCTTGAGATTTTTGAGATGAGGAAAAGTATTTTTAATTTTAACATGAAAATTACTTTGCACAAGGACTATTCAAGTCAAATACTCAATATATTAATGGACAAATCTTTATTTTATTTTATTTAAAATACTTCACTAAAAAATATATGACTTTTTTTTTTTATGTGAAAGACGTGTAATATTAACTAAAGGAATGCCAAATTTCATGAAGATATACCCACTATATTGAGAGTTATAAGTATTAATTCTGTACAGACTTTAAACGAGTACAAAAAGGTTACGTGGTCGGTCAAATTGACTGAGCCCGTATTGTGAGAGTTAAAGAACTGTACACTTGTAGCAACCACAGCGAAAGCTTTCAGCTTGTGTCATTTAAATCACCCCCCTACCACTTTTGCAGCATTACTGATTATATCTGCAAAACAATCATCATGTGGTAAAAAATCAAGTTCACATTCAGTTATAATTATAAGAAACGAAGAGTTCTTCTGTCCACTACAACAACAGAGAAGTCTTAAATCACACTATATTCTGTTGTACTGCACCATGTTGCTATAAATGAAAGTATGTTGTAAATAATGTACAGGGTTTTTACTAGGGTCCCACAGTGAAGGGTTCCAAACTCTCAAGTTTTTTTTTTTTGAAGAGTCCCAATGAGATTTTCAAGGGTTCCATAAGTAGAATTTAATAAACTCAAAAATAGAAGGAAAAAGCACTTTAATATCAAATAAAAACTATATTTACAATGTACATGTTTACCTTCTGCAAGTGATCATGTTAATGTTCAATGAAAAACTTTATTTATAATTCAAACTGCATGTTGTTTCCCTTTATGAGTGCAAAGTAATTTTCTTGATATAAAAATGATGAAACTAAGTTGAATGGATGGCAACTGCAGGTTGTAGAAACACAAGTGTAGAGGATTATGTTTCAAAAGTCTTCAATGTGTGTAGGTCTTTACAGTAGTCTGGTGGATTGTGGAGAGTGTATTTAAGACTGGTTGGTTTATTCGTTTCTGATTGGTGAAGAGACTTCCTGTAGATTCAACCAATGGTAGCCATAGGTTACTCACCTCTAATCCAGAAAATCTGTTTAGTGAAGGTTTTATTGTGTTAATGTAAAAATGATTCTTTAATTTTTCTTGTCTTCCAAAATTTGTCTGCATCAATGATTCTAGTTTTTTCCAGTATATTTTGTGTCAAGTTGACATGGTGTGCTATCCAATGGCTGAATTTTGTGCTTTCATACATTTTGTAATGTTTATATGT